CCCTTAGGGGTGGGGGGTTGTAACCCCCTCAAAAGATAGATTTTTTGAAAAATCGTTTCACGTGTTTCAGCGTTATTTTTTAATACCGATAGTTTTTGAAATATTTGACCGTTCCGGAACTTTTTCCCTGTATATTAGATTTTTTCACTGTATATTAGACGTTTTTGACATATTAAAAACATCCAGATTAGATCCATGGATATTTTAAAAACGTTTCAAAAATATCCAGTGTTACCATTTTGGACTTTTTAAAAACATCTATTTTAGGATGCAATGGACTAAAACTGGACCAAATTAATACAGTAAACAAATTTTAGACCACAATCAAGACAAAATGATTTTTATATGAGTATTATTATTGATTAATATCTTATTCCATAATACATATCATAAAATTATAATAAAAAAAAAATATTTTTCCCTGAATTCGGAAACTAATTTCATAGTGCTTCGAAGCGGTCACCCATCCGGTTATATACCGCCATCCACTATGCTTGACTTCTGAAATCATATGAAAACTGCTACACTTCGATGATCCACGAATATAATCATGGATATATAATTACGACACCTGTTCAATATATGGTCCTAATAGAAATTTGTGCAGTTCAATTGAACATCCAGTCAGTTACTGTCTAATTTTATTTCAGTTTTAATCTTAATGTTATTACGACTATTTTCAGGTTAGGAAATCATACGCTGTACTTTCACAGTACCAGTTATCATGTACAGTAACAGTGTGGTAACGGTATTTTGTGAGGATATCGTGGGATATCGCATGCTTGGCTATCTGGGTAGATTTTTCGTCGTTGAAAATTTTTATCACAGCACAGACGTCCTAGGGACGTCCATGGGACGTTCAAAAGATGTCCGTACATACTAACAAAAGTGAAATTCCTCGTGCGGTCTTAAAAAAATTTTTACTTGTCAAGTCAGCGAAAGCAACACGTCGCGAGCAGATTTATAAAATTTTTTTTAAATGTCCAAATGTGAACATACTTTGTATGTTGAATAACGTATGTTTTTAAAACATTCGTACTAAGTCCATGGACATTTGGACCAGATTGAAATCAAGTCTGGATGTCCAATGGATGTCGTGTGCTGTCTGGGTCATTACGACTCAATGGCATTTTTATGAGATTCTTGTTTGTTGAAAACGTAAGAATTATATATTTTATATAAATGTCAAAAATATTATATTTGATACAATCTGTAATGATAATTTTAATATTTACAGCACCATGAGTAATATTGATATAGATGATTTTGAAGATAATGTTGAAAACATTGAATCAAGTATGTATTAATTGAACATAAAATACATTCTCTAATATTGTACAAATATTAAAACTATAAATATAAAAAAAACATAAAATTATCAATTTTCTGTACTATTAATGAATATTAGAACACAGTAAGTGACTTATTGTTCATAATGTTTATTTTTTTATGTATAGTGGGCCCCGCAAGAAAAGAAAGAAGAGTACCTAATTCTGAAAAGTCTGCCAGCGCAATAGATAAAATTGCAAAGTCATTGTGCAGCGATAACGATGTATTAATCTTCCGCTTATTCCAATTCCAGATGAATTCACGATGCGTTTTTGCAAATGTTAGAATGCCAGCTGCGAGAATTGGCTTTACGCAAATGGTGAGAGATTATAATGAAAGAGTTTTTAGATATAATATATGATGCTTTGGACGAATTTAATATGCATAATTTTTATATTATATTATATATTGTTTTATTTTTATATTATATGTCGTTTTTAATGGTACTTGAAGGTCTCTAACTGTTACTATATACTATGGGGCTCCGCACAATAAAAGGAACAGAGAACAGAGAACAGAAAATAAGAATTTCAACCTATTAGAAACTGTGTATTCCACAATACATGATTTCTGATAGGCTGAAATTCTTATTCTCTGTTCTTTGTTCCCTGTTTCTTTTATTGTGCGGAGCCCCTATCGCTTCAAAATAGTTAAGTTGTCGCTCCAAATTCGACGTTGTAAACCCTTTTCATGGATTTCAGTTGTCGCTGGCAACAATTGTCGCGTGATCTTTTGACGCTATAGAAAACAAGTGCTTTAGCGTCGCATGAAAAGGACTTTTATATGTCTATGGTTAAATTTTAACAAATTAGTTCATTGCATTGAATATTGGGTAAGATACTGGAGGATTTTTATGTAATCAATCCCTTAATAACGAATTTGAGAATCACCTATTTATTGCTCACTCAGTCGAAGTACAAACAGAACTGAACTTATTCCTTGGTCGACTGTGTTGCCAACAACAATCGGTAAAAAAAAAAGAAACTGCTAACGCCATTGACGCACGACTAAAGTGGCTCTCATAATAACTAAACAAACCAAGTCCCTAGATAGCGCGAGAGAATCGTACATTCCGGCCACCTTGAAGTATAAATTTCAACATTAACATAACTATTGACATTTGAAATACATTAGTTGATTAACTGACGCAAGATCCAAGTTCGGCGATATGCTACAAATTTATAACAGAACAACTTGATAATTATTTTCACTTAGGCAATAATATAATGGAAGCTTATAGCAGAAATTTAATGTTAGTCTATCGGTAGTATACATATCTTAGATAAGGAACGCTGAATTATTTCTCCAGTCGTTTTCAAAGATACGATACGTATCAATCCATCCGAGCTAGGATGAATTTCACATATTCGATCAATTCTCCATTTTAATGGGGGCATATTGTCGTCTCGAATCAGTACCAATTTACCCAGTTGTATTTCATGGTTGACCATAGTCGTAGTCCATTTAGTCCTTTGTTGCATCTGAGTGACATAATCCCTCGACCAACGTTTCCAAAATGATTGTTGCAACTGGGTCAGTAATTAATAACGGCTAACGCGATTCGAAGGTATCTCCAGAATTGATGCTTCTGGTAATAAAAGCAACGAAGTCCCAATTAAGAAGTGCTGGTGTAAAGATTTCTAACTCGTCAGGATCGCTGCTCAATGGACGTGAGTTCAAAATCGTTTCGATCTGCGTAAGCACCGTATAGAACTCTTCGAACGTTTACAATGTTTCATTAATAACGGTTTTAAGATGCGTCTTCACAGCCTTGATATTGGCTTCCCACAATCCTCCCATATGAGGGGAATGGGGTGGAATGAACCTCCAAGAAATTCCTCGATTGGAAGCAAATTCGATGACTTTTGCTTGTTGCTCGGAATTTGATAGAAATTCACCCATCTGTCGCAAAGCATTATTAGCCCCAAGAAAATTCTTTCCGTTGTCGGACCAAACTGATTCGCATCATCCTCTTCGAGAAATAAATCTCTTTAAAGCGTTTAAAAACATTTCAGTAATGAGATCCGACACTAGTTCCAGATGAATAGCCTTGATAGCCATACAAACGAAAAGACATATATATGCCTTACTTGATTTATTTCTCGAAATTTTCACACAGAGAAAGGCCCCGCATTCAGTCAACGCCGACGTAACTGAATGCTCTGGAGGGAATAACCCTACATGCAGGTAGATTACCCATCCGCTGTACTAAACCATGGGGTCGCGTCCGAAAACATAGTACGCATTTACTGAGTACACGTTTAATTGCTCCCTTGGCGTGGACTATCCAATAAGTCTCGCGAAATGTCGTCAATAATAACTGAGGACCCATGTGGAAATTACTCAAGTGTTGATCGCGTATTATTAGTTCTGTCAATATGTGATTGGAAGATAAAATGATTGGATGTTTTTGTGAATAAGGTAAAGGAGCATTTCTCAACCGGCCACCAACACGCAATAGATCATCCCGACCAATTATCGGATTGAGCGGTAGAATTTTACTGTGTGAATCTACCACTTTGTCCTGCTGAAGACTGTGCAGTTCTGACCTGAATATCTCCTGTTGATGAAGCTTTACCAATACCGTCATCGCTTGCTGAAGCTCTTTATTTGTAATCGGTCCGTGAATCATTAGAGATTTTGACTTAGATCGTATGCAATTCGTTTTGAATCTGAAGCAGTTTGCAATTATCCTTTTCAATCTGATCAATGATGAATAATGGTGTATGACGTCAAATGATTCTTGAACTTGCGCAAGCATGACCGATTGAGTCCGTGCCTCCGGGATCTCAATCGGTACTTGACCTGTAGATTTAGGCCAGTACACTTGCTCTTCTTTTAGCCACTGTGGGCCTTCCCACCATAGTGTCGCATCAAGCAGTTGATCTGGTGACATTCTCCGCGAAAGTATATCTGCCGGATTATATTCTGATCGCACGTGTGACCAGTCGTGGTTATTGGTCAGTCGTTGCAGTTCTGCAACACGGTTGCCCACAAACGTCTGCCAATTTCCTGGTTCTCCTCGAATCCACGCCACAACAATTTCAGAGTCGGTCCAAAAATATTGTTTCGAAATTGTACAGGTAAGTGCTTGAGAGACCTTTGAAGACAATTTGGCCAACAATACAGCCCCGCACAGTTCAAGCCTCGGTAGACTGATGGTCTTCAACGGTGTCACTCTGGACTTTGCTGTTAATATTTGGACTTTGATCGCTCCAGCCTTGTCCTTGGAAGATAAATGCACGCGCCGTAGGCGATCAAAGAAGCGTCGCAAAATCCGTGCAACTGTATGTCAATTGGATGATGTAAGACAGCATACCGAGGTACCTTTATTTGATTCACACGAGCTAGTTGATGACAGTATACTAACCATACTGATTTGAGCGTACGGAAGGGGAGTGTCCCACTCCAATTTCAATCGCCATAGTGACTGTAAGAACGTCTTGGCCTTGATGATTATCGGTCCGATCAGTCCCAATGGATCAAATATTTAAGTAACTACTGATAGCACAATACGTTTAGTCACCTTCTCAGATGTGAGATCCAACCTTGCTTCATACCTAAACATGTCGCGATTGGATTTCCATAAAAGACCTAAGATTTTAGTGTCTGCGAGTCCATAATCGTCCAGGCATTCTTCATCATCAAGCGCAATATTGGAACGAAACTTCGATAATTGAAATCCCGCTGTTTTTAGAATGTCGGTTACTTGCCTCTTTGTTCGACGAAGTTCTTGTGCTGATGACTCTCCTGTGATCATATCGTCGACATAAAAATCTTGAGTTATAACCTGGGCTGCACGAGGATATGTTGCTTCATAATCGTACGCCAATTGTTGCAACGATCGTATTGCTAAAAACGGTGCTGACGCAATCCTATATGTAACCGTATTCAAACAAAATGTAGTTACTGGCTGATCGGATGTCGATCTCCATAGTATACATTGATATAGCCGATGATCTGGTTTGATCATTATTTGTCGGTACATTTTAACTATATCACTAGTCAACACGTACGAATGTTGCCGGAATCGTATTAAGATCTCGAATAGTTCTGATTGAATCGTTGGGCCTACCGACAAGTAGTCGTTGAGCGACTTTCCGGACGTAGTTGGACTACATGCGTCGAATACCACTCGAAGCCTGGTGGACGTCGATGATTCCTTTATAACTGCGTAGTGTGGAAGGTAATTAATCTTGCTTTTCGTGATCCACCACTACAGACATATGACCGAGTTGAATGTACTCATCCATGAATTTAACGTATTGCCTTTGCAACTCGCTATCTCTCAGAAAGCGATGTTCCAACTTTCGCAGTCACTTAAGTGCACTGGCCTTGGAGTCGCCGAGGACACTTGGATCTTCGCGGAACGGTAATGCCACTTCAAATGTTCCATTGTCGTATCTTTTGTATTCGTTCCTAAAGATTTTCTTACATTCTGCTTCTTCTTTAGATGGTAATTTAGTGTTTGATACTTTCTCGACTTGCCAAAATCTCTCAAGCTGCGATTGCAGCTCTTCGTTCCGAACTAATCCGCATACAGAATGACAATTGCGTGTCCGTGATTCGACATACGATCTCAATTGTCCCCATATCAGCCAGCCGAGTTTCGTTGCTTGGAGGATGGGTTGTTTAGTCCCCAACTGGATTCGATCTGTTCCGAGAACTTCCCAGAATACTGTTGCCCCTAGCAGTATTTCTACATCTTGCGGTTTGTGGAAGGTTGGCTCTGCCAATTCAATATCTTGAGGTAGGTTTAGGAATTTAATGTTAATCAGTTTGGAGGGAATAAGTTGTGTGATCTGATTAATTACAAGTAAATGGACGTTCGTCTCATATGAAGTCGTAGTTAATGCTATCACTGTCCTTGTCATTTCAACTGTCTGTGATTCTGTCATGTGTAAGCATGAAATAATTATGTTTCGTTGCGCCTACCGTGAGTCCTAATCGTTCACAAGTCTTCCTTGTGATAAAATTGGCTTGTGATCCATTGTCTAACAAAGCGCGAACTCTCTGTAACTTACCGAATTCATCGCGAATGTAAATGATCGCAGTAGACAGAATAACCTTATGTTGTGCACCTGGTGGGATCAGAGAGGTGTTATATATTATGAGCTGCTCAAACCGTCCGAAACCATCACTGGCGACCGTTATCGACTACAACTGATACGTTTAAACCTTTTGACCGGAATGGGACAATAGGCACAACAAGCTGATTCTGTATCATGACAACGCTAGGTCATACGTTGCAAAACTGGTCAAGAAATACTTGGAAGGAGTAAAGTGGGAAATTCTACCTCACCCGCCGTATTCACCGGACATTGTTCCTTCAGATTTCCATTTGTTCCGATCCATGGAGTCGGCCCTTTCTGGAGAACGATTCAATTCTTATGAAGATATCAAAAAATGGCTTGATGAAAGGATCACTTCAAAAGAACCAGATTTTTTCATTCGAGGAATCCGTTTATTACCGGAAAAGTGGGAGAAAGTTGTCGCTTCCGAAGGAGCATACTTTGAATAAAAACTCACTTATACAGATTTGTTTAAATAAACATATCTTTTTCTTTTCAAAAAGGGCCGAAACTTATTCCCATACCCAATAAATAATTAATAAGCTTATCCCACTTGTCTATGGGCTCCTTCAATTGTTTTAGCACCCGCAAATGTTTTTGTGCATTGTCTAATAATGCCCGTAACAACTCTGCCGACTCCTTTGTAACCAGAGGTAAACTGAACTCATGTACATGATGATGAATCGTTAAGCGCGTATTTTGAAAACGTTTTGATAATAATTCTAAAGCAATTACATAATTCTCATTAGTCACTGGTATGGAAAGAATCACTTGAGCCGCTACACCCGATAGTGCAAATTTTAAACAATGGAACTTTTGTACTGGATCCAAAGTAGCGTTGCCGTCGACTCAGGCTAATAACGTGTCGCAAAATTGTTGCCACTCTTCGTAGTTTCCGCAAAAGGTCGGCAAAGTAATTACTGTCAATTTTACCATCGTCTGATTTGTACTTATGTTTGAGTTAATGTGATTCGAATGCTCACCTTGATGGTTACGATTTGTGTTCGACTCACCTAACCTAAATCGCTTGAGTTTTGACCGCGCGGAGGCTTGCACAACGAAAAACGCTTCCTCAAATCTCTCTCGTTCGGTGATATCTGCCTCCGGGAGATTTGCGTCGATTTGCGTCTGTATGACGTGAAATTCCTGCCATAACTCCTCGTACTTTTCTAATCTGCCTTGTAGTACTAACCTATATTCGTCTGTCTTGATAATTTTCGACAAACGTTTTAAATCTGGTTGCTTGAGATTTCAACGTCGTTCGTTGACGTTTCAGTGCTTCCAGAACTTCCATTTTTATGCTACAATACGTTTACAGTACTCGTAAGCTACTTATCGTCCGCTAATACAGATTGTTATCACGTTAAGTGCACGCACTTATGAAACGACACCGTGGCACCAGCAACACCAAACTGCTTGCAGAAACGATACGACACACTGATGGTTTTCCACATCAAGCTGCCGATGCTGCAGCTTGTAGCGTCAAGATGGTACAATGATGCCTACAGCGACGAGGTGGCGAAGCGACGGCCTGCCGAACCAAGATGGCAGAGTGATTTACCGATACCAGATGGCAAGATGGCGGCTTGCTGCGACAAGATGGCCCAATGATGGTTTGCCGAGACGAGATGGCCTAATGGCGGTTTGCCGAGATAAGATGGTCTAATGGCGGTTTGCCGAGACAAGATGGCCTAATGGCGGTTTGCCGAGACGAGACAGCACTATGCACTCGCTGGCCTACGCCCAAATACTGATGATGAATCCTTGAATGCCTAATCTATCCTCGATTCTAGCTGTAGAATGTCGACAAACGCGACTAAGGCGTGTGATCCTTGCAGTTCAATTCAACTTGCAACCAACGTAATTCTTTCTCGATGATTTTGAGACCGTATTTCCTCACCAATCTTCCAGATGTTCGCTATCTCAAACTTCGTTTTCTTCACTGTTACCGTGAATCCGGCTCGAAGGACCAAAACTTTGGAGGATTTTTATGTAATCAATACCTTAATAACGAATTTGAGAATCACCTTTTTATTGCTCGCTCGGTCGAAGTACAAACAGAACTGAACTTATTTCTTGGTCGACTGTGTTGCCAACAACAATCGGTAAAAAAAAGAAACTACTAACGCCATTGACGCACGACTAAAGTGGCTCTTATAATAACTAAACAAACCAAATCCCTAAATAGCGCCGGAGAATCGTACAGATACCAAAAGTAAATTTTTTATACGTAATTACGGATTCAACCGGATTGGTCGTATGTTTCATTTCTATGCACATTCCCAGTAAACAAGAAACATTCCAAAACATTTCAGTAACGTTGCAGCAACATTGTAACGTTACTGAAACATTTCAAAACATTATTGAAATGTTTCTTGCTTAGTGGGTTAGGTGAGAAAGTAAATAATCCATAATTACTGATTCAAGCGAATTACGGATAGAAAAGTATTTAAAAAATTCGAAAACATGATTCGACATCACTTCAATGAATAATTTTCAACAGTTTTCAATAATTTCTCGTTTGTTGGGGACATACGCGTACAAATAAATTTCAATTTTGTATTTTATTTATTTTTACGTTTACTGTATAAGTTACTGTGACTCTATCATCGCACTGAATTTGTATCTATGCAGATATGCTACTTGAAATTCTTGAACTGCATAACATTAAAAGATATTGTGCATCATTGCATGAAGGAATAAGCTATGACGATGCAAGTAGCTGGGCAATTGACATGGTGGGGTATTAATATCGAATAAACATTTTATAATATAATTTTATGTCAAGCGATTTACCCATGATGGAATTTTACCATGGTTATTTGCATAATCACTGACAAGATACTATTAAAGACAAGGCAAATTTTCGACGGTATAAAAAGGGTTTTAAGGGCCCGGTGGTAATTGAAGAACGCTGATATTATCGACAATTGATATAAATTTGCTATTATTATAATATAAACATTTGGCTAATACATTATTAAGTTCATGATTTTTTATTATATGCTCTATAAATAAATATGCATACTTGTAAAACTATAATATTTTATACGTTGCCGCAAAATTACAATTTTTTTCTCTATATCCAGATAGCAAGTTTCCCTCATGTTTCTATAAATTTGATACAAATTGCGTCGCCTAAGTTGCCATCTTTTTAAAGGAAAGCCGCTTCCGATTTTGCTTATGATATTGGCGGCAATATATACCATAAACGGTTATGCACAACCGGAGGGAAACAATTTCCGTCTTTTTTTTAATGAGTTTTATAGGACAATCGTATGGCAACATGATGGAATTAATTCTACATAAAACAAATTTGCTAGCAATATAAAAGAAACTGTTGAAATAAAAAGGGTTAATCTCTAACAACGTTTTTTTGTTTAAAATCGACTCAAAAGAGAACTTTAAGATATCTTTAAGAATTCTTTAAAAAACATCTTTAAGATATTTCATAAAGAACTCTGAAAGCTATCTTAAAGTGACTTTTAGACATTTTACTCATTTGGTTGACAGGTGTAAGCTACTATGAATAAAATTAAAATGCAGAACAAAATACATATTAAAGTATTAGGAAATTTCATTTACTCGGTAAACATTTCAAAAAAAGTATTATGCCTTTCATCTTAGAGCCCCTCCTCTTGGGGCTTACTTCAAAAAATTATTTTATTAGCAAATAATAAGATTTTATTCGGACCGATAAGAATTAAACACTAAGTATAAGAATATTCAAGCCTATGTCGGTCAAAGCTAGATCTTTTTTGCCTAAACAATTCCCAGTGAAT